CTGACAGGCAAAAATTTCCACCCACTTGATGTTTTCATGTTTTCATCTAAAAATATTTCTGCTTTGGGTTGGTCTACTGTTTTTAATGAATAAATAGGTAATCTTTTTGTTTGTTTTCAATTAGGAATGTTAATATAGAGGACAATAACCCTTAATCCTTAATTCAATGAAATGATTCTAGATTCCAATGTTTACTTTCTATGGAATCAAAATGTTTATTCAGTATCATTAGTTCAGTGCCGTTTCTTGCAGCACATTTCATAGTCTCCGGATTTTAATTTTTTCAATATTAAGTTCAAAAATATCTCTTAGTGCTGAGGATGTTGCGCGTGGTGTGGAAATTATTGATGATGGACGTTCCATTAGATATGCAGCTAATGCCATCGGAGTTCCATATGAAACTTTACGAGACGCCGTCAGCCGTTTTTGGGAAACTGGTTCTTACAATAGAAGGCCCGGTTCTGGACGGCCTAGGGTAACAGAACCACGGGATGACCGGTTTTTGACTTTGAGAATTTTACGAAACCGTCACCTTACCGTTGTTCAAGCGATTCATTAACTTGAAGAAGTTCGTGGTGTGCAAATTTCTGAACGTACCGCTCGGAGAAGATTAAATGAGTATGGATTAATGGCTTTTCGTCCAGTAAGAGGACCAGAGTTGACCAGAACTCACAGAGTAACACGGCTGGCTTTTGCTCGAGAACACAGCCATTGGACTATGGACGAATGGAGTGCTGTACTTTTTACAGAGGAGTCAAGATTCGCTCTTCGATCTCCAGAGGGGCGTGAAAGGGTATGGAGAAGAAGAAACGAAAGATATGCAGCCTTTCCTAATTTTTCCCAGAGCCAACCTTTTCAACGTGGTTCCTTAATGGTGTGGGCTGGGATTTCAATGGTGCGCCGTACAGAATTGGTTGTTGTTCATGGAGGGTCTTTGACGGCCATTCGCTATGTAGATGAGATTTCGGAACGTCATGTGTTGCCTATCCTTAATGAAATCGGCGATCGTTCTATTCTAATGCTCGATAATGCACGCCCGCATGTCGCCCGCATAGTGCAGACGTTCCTTCAACAGAACAATATAGTTTTAGCCTGGCCAGCACGTTCTCCAGATTTGAACCCCATTGAGCATTTATGGGATAACCTCGGAAGACGAATAAGAGCGGGTGCAACACTTCCTGATATACTGCAGGATCTTGAAAGGGCTCTTCGGGAGGAATGGGCTATCCTCCAGCAAAGGGACATTTCCCGACTGGTGGAAAGTATGCCGAGGCGTCTTCAAGAAGTAGTGAAGGCAAGGGGAGGAAACACGCGCTACTAAACGATGATGTAATTAATTTCTTTTAGAATAATAATGGTTCGTTTTTCAAATTGTTTTTCTCTAATCTTTCTTACACAATCACATTTTGATTATTAAAGGTAAAAAATATTATAAAATCCCATAAATACTAAGTATTATCTACAAATACCATGTATTTTATACAAATACAACTTTTTTTTACAAGTGGCAGAAATATTTTCAGATGAAAACATGAAAAAATCAAGTGGGTGGAATTTTTTGCCTGTCGGAGTATATTTGTTTCTCCATTTTCTTTGTAGGAATTTTAAGGTAGTAAGTGCCTTTCGGTAGAACAGGAAAAAGCTGAAATCGATGTATATGTGTATATTGTAATTTTTATAACAAAATTGTTGGAAATGGTATGGCGTGTATTTGCATAAGTGTATACAATGTATATCAATAGTGTAAGATAACAGCCTTCAGCTACTCCTCGTAGTCCTGGCCGAATATACGATATTGTATATTGAAATTGGTCTGTATTTTTAATTTTAAAAACATTTATAAATTTTTTTTTCTTTTGGCATTACAGACCATGTTGATATTTTGTCACCATACAAGCCTGCTCTATTTCTGCCTGTCTTTGGCTATTTCTTTCCATTTATCTGCATGCAGCTCTATTGCATCTTTGTTGATTCTAGCTATCCATCTGCTTTTTGGCCTTCCACGTTGTCTTTTGCCTTCTATTGAGACATTCATTGTTACGTAGAGGCTTCCAGATGGATTGCTACGAGCTATATGCCCGCCCATCTTAACCTCCGTGCCTTCATATCATGGGATATTGATTGACCCTAAGCAGTTCTTTATTGGTCTTTCTTCTCCTTGTGTTAGTACTCTGATCCCAGATCGCTCCGGTTATCGTGCGGAGGTTTTTCTCTCAAATCTTTGCACACTTTTTTCTACGCTGCTGGTTAGTGTCCAGGTCTCACAGCCATATATTAGAATTGGCTTTCTCATAGCATTTTACACCTTTAGTTGGAGATTTTTCGAGATTACTATACCTGAGAGGGAGAAGAATGCTCTGTTTGCGCTAGTTATATTCTGGTCTATTTCTCCCCGTTGGTTATTCATTGGTGTTATTGTGGAGCCTACGTGTTTGAATTTTTCTACTCTCGAGAATGATTTTCCTTCTATGTCAGATCCTGTTATTGGGGTAGAAATTTCGGCTTATTGTCATATATTTTGTTTTGTATTCATTTACTTGTAGGCTGATCTGCACTGTCTCTCTTATCAGTGTTGTAGCGAATTTCTCAATGTCTTCTTGAATACTTCCAAGGACAGCTACATAATTTGCGTATCCAAGGATTTTATGATTCGTTCCGACCTCTCCATTTTCCTGTGATGTTGCTCTTATTACCTTCTCCAGGACTAAATTGGACAACATGGGTGATAGTCCATATTCGTGACGGAAGCCCGTTCGATCTACGAAAAAAAATAGTATCCCGTAATAACTATGACACCTAGGAGGCTATCGAAGTGAATTACGGTTCATCCCGAAAATCGTACATTTTCGGGTTTAAAAACTCTGAATCTTAAAACCTTATTTTTACAATGACTTTTATTAAATTATTAAAGCTCTAATTGGAATTCAAAGGTCGTCACTACTCCAAGAAATTCTCTTTCTTTACTTCATTCATCAATATACATCGATCCATCACTCCTGGCGGGATCTCCACTACCGTATCACACATAGAGAAGATAATAAAAGGTATGGAAAAAAAAGACGAATGAGAGGGAAAAATAATGAAACAGAAAGGTTGAAAAAATATGATCTTTCATTTCCTTTTTAATAAGCTGTATAGAATTTTTTTTGTGTACTATGCTTTCGGCTAGAATAAGGGATAAAAAAAAAACTTTATTCGAGAAATTGTTGTAAGCTTAAAATTTTGGACAATTTTCCACTTAATCTATTAATATATTTTTCGTTTGTAAATAATTCATATTAAACAATTCAAGTATATTAAGTGAAAAATTACCAACAACTTAACATGCCACAATTCCAATTGAGTTACATACACACACACACACACACAAACAAAAGAATTACTTTGTTATTCGGACCAGAAGGGGATATGTTAAAGTAGGCAAACATAAATATCAATTATTTAATGGAAAATAAAGAATGTATAGAAACATATTTAGAAATGTTTTAATGTTGAAATAATTGCTGATTCCAATGGTTACGAACTACTTCCTCTTCGGCCAATATTATTAAACTCAATTTTTTTTTTTTAATTTCCATTAAAACTACTAAAAAACATGTAAAGTTTTTTTTTGTTTCTTATCAACAGCCAGGATCATTATTGTTCTGATATCACATTATTATTGTTAATATGAAGTTTTATTGAGAATATAGAAGATGAAAAGCGGAATTAGTTGATATAAGGTTGGCTAACTGCTTTTTTTTTCTCACCACCAACAGAGTCCCAGCTTGTCTCTACACGACATCATATAGGTTGTTAATACGAAGTGCGAAATAGATTTACAAAAGTTTGATTTTTTTTTTTTGAAAGTGAAATGATTTCTTCTCTAAAATTCGAAAATAAAGTAATCCATCCATTTTTAGTCGCATTTTTATTATTTTAATATAAATCTCCTTAGAGCAGCTATTTCCGACTTATATCTGCTTTTGTGCTTCGTCAACATTATACATTGAATAACATTATATTTAACAACCTTACACATTGCATTTATACATATTAAATCAATGTAAATATTAACGTATTGTTGAAAATATAAAGACAGAAAAAAATTATAAAAGAACTAATAGGAAAAAAAAATTCAAACTTTAATTTTTTTTTATTTTTATAACATTGATTGTTGTTTCTATATAATGGTTTCCAATACAGAAACCTTATTTTCATTTGTTATTCAGTCTTTTATGTTATTCTTTTAACTGTCTCAACTATTTTTTTTTCGTTTACAATTTATAGTATAAGGAAAGGTAGGAGGTTGTTCTAGAAGAAATGCTAAACATATTCTAACCAGAGAGGAAAAGTCAAAATTTATTCCGTGGATACACTACGAAATAAATTTCAAATCACTCAGGCTGGATTAAAAAATGTTAAATGGAGAATGGCAACGGCCAAAACTTTAACACAAGTGACCATCACTGCCTCCTGTACCAACCAACGTTCGTTCACACCTTGACTTTTTGTTTTTGGAATTTTTCAGATTTATCACTTCTTATGAAGGTTTGGCAAAAAAAAAAATAAAATAAAATAAAATATAGCTCCATCAATGAAGTTAATATTCAAAGAGACCAAGAAAGTTTGTACAAGCCCATAAGTAGAAGATAAGTTATTAATGTAGATTAGAAGTTTATTAAAACATAATTTTAAAATGTTACAATCATCTATTATAGAATACAATTCACTATAATGTAAACAACATACCTTATTCAAGCTGCATCCGCTGTGAAGGTTAATTTCTTAATTTTACATTTCATTCATTCTTCTTCTCTGATATCTTTTTCATTCTTTCAATCTACCAAAAGTCTTAAGTCGTAAGTTCTGTATCTCTGTACCAAAAAGGGTGATATTCTGCGGAGGTAACTCGAGAAGATTCTAAGACAAAAAAGTCACTGGACGACAAAAAACTCTTCCTGGCCAATAAAACGATCTCCCCTCTTGAGGACCGAGCAAGCCATCTTCTAAAATCCATCTCATCCCTCGCGAGCAGAGAGCGGCCCTCGCTCTTGCGGGATGATTGAAAGGACCCGAATCTGACTCTTCGGTACTTGGCCCATACAGAGAAGGAGTCCATAATCTTCAACGTCCTTCAAGTCCTCAACCACCAACCGGAACACTTCATCCCAGTATTTTTCTCCTTTTCCCGGATTTTCTTCTCTCCAAACCGACTCTTTCCCTCGAAGCCACTCAAACTCGAAAAGACATTGCGTTGTAACAGAAGAGTCGAAGGAAGATGAGATCGAAGTATTCTACTATTCGCCAGGTAGGGAATTCGAATCACATCATCGGAGTGATGTAACGGACTGAGCGATTTTCGTGTCATTGTTGTTCATGTAGGAGAACATCGCTCAATTAACAGAAGTCGAAACTAAACTAAAAAAAAAATTAAACCAAATTTTTGTGAGAATTATCGTTTAAAATATGAAATCTTAAAATTTCGTCGATTAAAAGAATTATGATCAGATACTGTTTAAAAAATATATATTTTTAATTTTTTTGGTAGTTATTTATCGAGGTGATAATATAACCATTTCATGATAAAATTTTATGTCCATTTAAGAACTACAGACAGAAATAATAAAAAAAAGTATGAATCTATATTACTCATAATTGAGACTAAACCTACTGAATAGGTAACTATCTGAAAAAAATAATTACAAGATAGTACTTAGGCCATTGGCTTTTTAGCTATTAGTGTATATGGAAAAGAGCTCATCCTCAGGTACTAGTAAAACATCAAACCAAACTATCCCTCAAATTTAATATCTCTCACTATATCTAGCTTGGTTTGATTTCCTTTAGCGCCTGAAAAATGAGACTTTCAACCATGACTAATAAAAGCCAATGCTGGGCTAGGAATAGAGCATCAACGAGCTCTCAAATTTTTGGGGTGAAAAGAAATAATGCAGATATAACTCCAGTGAAATTTAAGTAGTGGTGGTTGCGTTGATTGTTGTGAGGCTTATATAAAAGCCTTAGATTGCTAAGGGATATATGGTCACAAAAACCCAGAAGGGGATATCTAACCAATGCCTAAGGAAATAATGTATCTTTAAAATAAGATAATTACAACCACCACAGTACAATTATTAGTTTCAACTCCCACAAGTTGAGCGATGTTCTCCTTCGTGTACAACTGTGACACGAGAACTGCTCAGTAGCAGCGACATCGCTTCGATGATGCGATTCGAATTCCTAAACACGACGAATCGCGGAGCACTTCGATCTCTTCTTCCTTCGATTCTCCTGCTACAGCACGATATCTAGTCGAGTAAAAGTAACCTCGAGAGATAGACTTCGAAAGGAGACAAGAAGATCCGGGAAAAGGAGAAAAATTCCGGAGCGAAGGGTCCAGAGAAAGTTGAGGACTTGAAGAACGCTGATGACTGTGGACTCTTTCCGAGATGAGCCGAACACCAAAGAGCTGGATTCGAACCTTTCGACCACCCTGTGAGATCGAGGACGACTCAACACTCCCGAGGGAATGAGCTGAACTTCAGTAGATGTCCTGCCAGGTCCTCCAGAGAGCGAATCGTTCAGTCCACTGAGAAGAATCTCCGGCCATCCAGTGAGTCGAAGAATCTTTCGCAGCTCTTCTACAGAATACTCCACCCTCAGTGGTAAAGAGTACCTGTAGGATTCTAGCTTCTTATATTTGGCCGTATGAATTGCCTTTCCAGTGATTCCTAGGAACAGAAAAAATAAATAAAACAATTATTCAATCAACTTCCAATAATTTTTTATTTGAAATTGATTATTTTGTAAAAAGATGATTATATGATATGTTTTAGATGGGCCTATCAAAGCGACATCTAAAACAACATTTATCTATTAAGAAAAATATATTTATCCAACTAAAAATCATTGTTGATTTTTAAATTATAATAAAATATTATGATTAAATAAATAACAAATAAGGTTGAACAATTTAGGCTCCTTAAGATATGAATTTTAAAATATTAATATATATTTGTATTAGTCACTTACTTCACGTAAGAGATGTAACTAAGCTCTTTTGTACACCAATACAAATCGCACATAGTTGTCGTATCTTCTTCAGAGAAATTTGAGAAAAAGCCTGCAGAAAGTACATCAGTGGTAGATTTCGGTCCTGCAAAGTAAAAATTATTAATTAAAAAAAATTAAATAACAATAACAAATTACAATACTACAAATAACAATATTGTTAATGGGAGGAAACATGGGAAGCAATAACATACAGATAATAGAGAATAAGGTATAATTAATAGAAAGGAAGCATAATTAAAGTTGTGATGAACATTAAAGGTACGTTAAAATGAAGAGATTTAAAAAAAATTAATTTTTAATAATGATTTTCTCTCTCTCTCTCTCTCTCTCTCTCTCTCTATATATATATATATATATATATATATATATATATATATATATATATATATATATATATATATATATATATATATATATAATGTATATGTGTGTATATTTTACTTTATTATTTATAATTGTGTCTTGTATGTACATACATATATTGCTTATTGTTGACCTCGGTTTGTAATATTTTGAAATGCAAAAGTATTAATATTTAGTTGGTACCTTTTATTTCAAAACTTACAAAGACATTCTAAGATAAACATTGCACTTTATTCATTATAAATATTAATGTAATAAACAACGAAGTAATAATAATTTCGAACTACATCGACACAAACTTAATCAATGTCTCATTTCTGCATTGCATGAAAGATTATGGTGTTGCTTCCATAGATAAACAACAAAAGAAAACCTTCGTTTTTTATTATTGAGAACTGTATCTGTAAAAAGTTGAAAATAAACAGAGACATAGTACAATGTTCCATGTTAACTAGTCAAGTGAAACACAGAATTCAAATATTTTAATTTATAATTTATACAGAACATAATTGAACTTACTTATTTTTTAAAGTTCAATTAAAATTGTTAAATATTTTTAATACACGCACAAGCGTTTATACAAATAAACATATCAATTTAAGCCGCATTACTAATTTTTAAATTTAAGTAAATTGTTTTATACTGTTTGAAAACGTTTTATTATTAATGAGATAGTTTATTATTAAGAACAATAACCAATTAAATGTTCACAATCTGTTATTATATTATTAACGTTTGCGATCTGCATTGGTACACAGCTGTGGCAAGAAAAATTTTAAGTTCGAAGTATCGAAGCAGTAATAATGAATTTAAAAAATATATCTTTTTTTTCAAGGCAACAGGAAAATTATTAAATATGCATATCCGTGCTTGTACGTACATAAATTGATTGGTTAATTTAACAAACAATAATATTTATGTTACAATTTGAACTATAGCAGAATTCTAAATTGTAGAGAAATCTTTGCATTACATTCTAAACAGTTTGAAAATCAATATTCTTCCGTAGATGCAGTTATATATTTAATTTATCAAAGATCTGTAACATTTACTGCGAAGTGCCTAGGTACAGAACAAAGACTATGCTGAGGGCGAAGTACAAGTGTAGGGTCCAATGTCCAAAGTAGTGGGTTATATTAAAATTTAAAAAATTGTTTATTTTCTTATATAATTTGACCATTATTGAATATTTATGTTCATGATTGTAACTAATATGAGAAGATTAGGTTAATTTAACAAGCAGTTATATTTATTTTATAATTTGAGCAGTACATTTTTTCCAAAATTGCAGGATAAATTTTCATTACTTTCTTAAATAATTTAAAAGTTACTATTCATTTGCAGATGCAGTTGAACTTTTGATTTATCAAAGAGCTTATAAAATTAATTATGTGAGAACTGAGACTAGGGAGATGTACAAGTGTTGGGTATATTGTTCAAAGTAGTGCGCGTATAGAAAATAAAGAAATTTAGTTATTTTTAAACATATTTGGATAACTATTGAAAATGTATGTCATTGCTTATACTATATAAATTAAGAATCGGTTAATTTAGCAAGCAGTAATATTTATTTTATTATTTGAACAGTACCTTATTTCTGAATTGCAAAGTAAAATTTCCCATACTTTCTTAAATAGTTTAGCAATCCCTATTGGTTAGAATATGCAGTTTAACTTCTGGTATATCAAAGAGCTGTAACATTTATTGCGAAGTGCGTCGGTACAGAACAAAGACTAGGCTGAGGGCGAAGTACAACTGTAGGGTACAATGTTCAAAGTAGTGGGGCTATATGAAAATTTAAAAATTTGTTTATTTCCCTAAATAATTTGTCAATTAATGAATATGTATATCATTGCTTATACTATATAAATTAAGAATCGGTTAATTTAGCAAGCAGTAATATTTATTTTATAATTTGAACAGTACCTTATTTCTGAATTGCAGCGAAAAATGTCCCATACCTTCTTAAATAGTTTAAAAATCACAATCGCTTAGTTGGTGTAGTTTAATTTCTGGTATATCAAAGAGGTACAACATTTATCGCGAAGTGCGTCGCACAGAACAAAGACTTGACTGAGGCCGAAGTACAGGGTCTAGGGTCCAATGTTCAAAGTAGTAGGTTATATTAAAATTTAAAAAATTGTTAATTTCCTTATATAATTTGACCATTTTTGAATATGTATGTTCATGACTGTAACTAATATATGAAGATTAGGTTAATTTAACAAGCAGTTATATTTATTTTATAATTTCAGCAGTATCTTTTTCCGAAATTGCAGCGTAAATATTCATTACTTTCTTAAATAGTTTAAAAGTTACTATTCATTTGCAGATGTAGTTGAACTTTTGATTTATCAAAGAGCTATTAAAATTATATGAGAACTGCGATTAGACTGAGGGAGAAGTACAAGTGTTGGGTACATTGTTGAAAGTAGTGCGCATATAGAAAAATAAAGAAATTTAGTTATTTTTTAACATATTTGGACAACTACTGAAAATGTATGTCATTGCTTATACTATATAAATTAAGAATCGGTTAATTTAGCAAGCAGTAATATTTATTTTATAATTTGAACAGTACCTTATTTCTGAATCGCAGAGTAAAATTTATCATACTTTCTTAAATAGTTTAAAAATCACTATTGCTTAGTAGATGTAGTTTAAGTTCTGGTATATCAAAGAGGTACAACAATTATTGCAAAGTGCGTCGTACAGAACAGACTTGACTGAGGCCGAAGTACAGGGTCTAGGGTCCAATGTTCAAAGTAGTGGGTTATATTAAAATTAAAAAAAATTGTTAATTTCCTTATATAATTTGACCATTTTTGAATATTTATGTTCATGATTGTAACTAATATATGAAGATTAGGTTAATTTAACAAGCAGTTATATTTATTTTATAATTTCGGCAGTATCTTTTTCCGAAATTGCAGCGTAAATATTCATTACTTTCTTAAATAGTTTAAAAGTTACTATTCATTTGCAGATGCAGTTGAACTTTTGATTTATCAAAGAGCTATTAAAATTATATGAGAACTGCGATTAGACTGAGGGAGAAGTACAAGTGTTGGGTACATTGTTGAAAGTAGTCCGCATATAGAAAAATAAAGAAATTTAGTTATTTTTTAACAACCATTTAAATTGGACAACTACTGAAAATGTATGTCATTGCTTATACTATATAAATTAAGAACCGGTTAATTTAGCAACCAGTAATATTTATTTTATAATTTGAACAGTACCTTATTTCTCAATTGCAGCGTAAAATTTCCCATACTTTCTTAAATAGTTTAGCAATCACTATTGGTTAGAATATGCAGTTTAACTTCTGGTATATCAAAGAGTTGTAACATTTATTGCGAAGTGCGTCGGTACAGAACAAAGACTAGGCTGAGGGCGAAGTACAACTGTAGGGTACAATGTTCAAAGTAGTGGGGCTATATGAAAATTTAAAAATTTGTTTATTTTAAAATACAATAGAACAATTATTAAATATTTATATCCATGCTGTATATATTAAGAATGAAGAAGAATGCATAAATTAAGAATGAAGAATTTAACAAGCAGAGAGTTTTTTTTTTTTTTTTTTGATAATTTGAACAATAAATATTTTATAATCTCGCAGCTAAACTTCTGATACATCGAAAAACTGTTATGATAATTTAAAACTTGATCTTTACGGAGCTAGAACTACACTTTGAAGTACCTTGTTCCAATTGGCACAACCACGTTGTGTCCAAAGTTCAAATTACTGGAGTTAAATTTAAAAAGATTTATTTATTATCTAATACAAGAGGACAATCGTTGGTAATTATTTAGATGAGGATCGCACAGGTTACGCGTGGTTCACAATCACATCGGTCACACTTGTTCATGAAATGCCGAAAACAGTCTTCGGGTAAACCCGGATGCATTCGGCACTCCAAGTGTGATCGAAGTGATTGTGAACCACTTCACTTTTAACCTATTCATCTTCCACTAAATAATTACCCAATCGTTTATCATTTACTTTCAACATTCTTCATACCTATATCAATAATTTAGTAATTTAATAGGCAGTAATACTTATTCTAAATTTTAGAATGAATCATATTTTTAAACATCAGAAAGACATTTCTATTTCTTTCTCAAATAGTTTTAAAATGATGATTTGTTTGTAGATGCAGTTTTACTTCAGATTTATAGAAACAATGAAATAAATAGAAAGATATGGATAGGTACAAACCTGAAACTTCGACAAATACTAACAGAAGTAAATGAAGTGTGGTACTTTTACGCTTTAAGTAGTACAGTATAGAAAAATAAAGAATCTTAATTATTTTCTTTCACGTCGCAGACATTTGTTAAATTGTCGTAACATTTATTTAAAGGCTATGTTTCATTTAGTTAAATTGTTGAATTTATGTACATGTTTGAAGTTATACAGATATATAAGTGTATTAATAATTGGTTAATCCAACTATAGTTTAATAAATAATAATTTATTTGGAATTTTTATCAATACCTAATTTATATAACGCATAGAAACATTTGTGTTTCTTTCTCAGATAGCTAAAACGTAGTAATTCGTTAGGAGTTGCAATTCATATTTTTCAAAATGAATAAAGAATTAAATAAAAAATATACAATAATGAATAAATTTCATTATAGCGAAATGCATTGATTCACAGCTGACTATGATGTGAGGGCGAAGTACAATTTTCGAACTGGCACAGACATGTACAGTCCATTGTTTAAACAATGATTTCTTATAGAATATTTTAATTTGCCTTTATTCTCTCTACTAAAAAACAATTCATAGGAGGGTTGATAATTATTAATGTACATTTTATTGGTTTTATAATTTCATTCACTGAGGCATTGTTAATTTAGAAACAAACATTTATTAAAGTCGTCAGTACCTTATTTTGAAATAACTGAGAAGCTTGTTACTTTCTTAAACATTTGCAAATTTCTTATTAACAGCAATAGACGTATATATATTGCAGTTATATCTAAATTACTATGATTGTTACGAAGCGTATCGGAATACAGCTGGCACTGAACTGAAGTGACGATTCAATATTGCAGTGTTACCATCCCTCAATAATAAATTATATTATTATAACTTTTTATAAAAAATTTAATTCCTTGTACCTATGCTCATTAAAAATCATACAAATGCATATAATTGTATGTGTTAAAGAATTTTTAAAATAAAATTAGTCAAAAATGTGAAATTAAC